TAGTATAAATCTACTAGCGTTCTATCACGAATGCTGTTCTCTGATTGGCTACGCTACTCACTATCTATTCTGTTGTAGATAGTGAGTAGCGTAGCAGTGGGCGCTTGTTAACAAAATGACGGCCACTTTGTGCGTTTTCGAAGTGTCTCTGAGGAGGATTTAGATAAAGTTGTGAACGACTAGTAGATTTATACTAAAACAATTAGATTGTTCCCTCTCGATTTCTATGCGTGATAGAAATTTCGAGCTCATAATCTAATTAAATAGAAAGATCAGTAGAAACACTCGTAGAAGTTTGGGAGAACTGGAAAATCGCCTGCCTGTCGATTCGCGTTCCCACAGCATTTCTGGTTCTCCCAAACTTTGACTCTTGTTTCTGTAACTCAGCAGAAACATGGTACATGTTTTCTATTTCTTAATTAATTGAAAATCGCTTAAGAACCTTGAGTGTTATTGGCATTTTTAAAGAGTTAATTTTCAAAGATAGTTTCAGCTAAAGAAAGGCATCTGTTTATACGGATCGTATCGGGTCGACGTCGTGTTCGTAAGAGAACTGTACAGGCCCGCAGCTGATCTCCGTTCCGCAAATGATCCCCAAATTGTAGAGCAAATGATCCCGGAACCGGAAATGATCCCCAGATTGCACCGTAAATGATCCCTTACCGGAAATGGTCGCCTCGCCATAAAATTTGGAAATGTGAGGACTCAGGAATCTGGACAGTGGATTTAAAATTTGTGCAATCGCTTTTTTATTACTGTGAAACTCTGAAAACCGTGAACATTTGGATTTGATTCCGAAAGGTTAATTTCATAACGAGCCAGACGTTCTTAGCAACCAAAAAACAGACCTGGGATCCCATGGAGATGTAGAACTTTTAGTCCTACATCTCCACGGGATATCCAGTGGCTTACAACATTCCAGTGTAATCATATCCCTCTCGGTGATCGTTTATGTTCCACAAAACGCGTCAAGTTTTGCACGAATGTGTCATAATCCTAAAGTGTGAAATTATATTTACTGTAAGACAATTCCATCGTGTCAGAAAGATACAAGACATTTTAATAGTCGGCGATGCGGGAAATCGCGCGACTGACGTGAAGAATTTGAATTAAAAGAAAAAATAACGTTGAAACAATGTGTTTTCTAGGTTGGGG